TCGGAAACAGGCTCCAGGCTCTGAGCCATCAGCCCAGAGCCCGACGCGGGGCTCGAACTCACGGACCGCGAGATCGTGACCTGGCTGAAGTCGGGACGCTCAACCGACTGCGCCACCCAGGCGCCCCGACACATTTTAAAAAGCAGAAAGAAATGATTTTTTAAATGTTTATTTGTTATTCTTAAGAGAGGGCGAGAGTGAGAGCAAGCAGGGGAGGGGCAGAGAGAGAGGGAGACAGAGAATCGGAAGCAGACTTTCCACTGTCCGCGCAGAACCCGACGTGGGGTTCGAACTCACAAACTGTGCGCTGAAGTCAGATGCTTAACTGACTGGGCCACCCAGATGCCCCCAAGATGAGATTAATTTTAATAACGTATTTTACTTAATCCAGTATAACAAAGCATCAGTTCCACATGTAATTTTTGTACCAATCATTAATCTGATATTTAATATTATTTTTTCATGTTAAGATTTCAAAATCCAATGTGTATTTTATACTCATGGAGCATCTCAATCCGGATGCTAAATTTTCATTGGAAATATTTCAGCTGTGTTTAGATTTGATAACGTTTGCCATTGAAAAGGTAGATTGACATGCCAGAACTTGACCTAAACTTGACCAATAACTGACTAGAAATGAAATATTGGTTTTTAAGTTTAAATTTTAGTGAAAGCTAAACAAACTTAGGGATTCAGTTTCTCAGTCACACTGGCTGCGTTTGCAGTGATCAGTGGCCATGTGGCCCTATCGTTGTGAGCAGTGCAGTCCTAGATCCCCAGAGTGAAGATTCTAATTGATCCCATCTCCCAGGTGGAGCAGCTTGGGTTTTTGTCCTCTTTGCGTCCACGCAGCGTTCAGTCCAGAGCAGAAGGACGTACTGCCAACCTGAGCCGGTAAGATCTGGTTTATGAAATGAAAAGCCGCTGTGAAATCCCGTGTTTTCTCAAGAAGACCCATCCTGCACTAACGCATCATTCCTAAATATCGATAGTTCTGGGGCTCAGGAAAAGCTGGGAACCTCTTCCTGCAACAGTTTCAGACAGTTCAGAATAAGTCCAATGGCTAATCCGAAGGGGCCTTAGTCTGCTCAGGCTGTCTTAACAAAGTACCATAGAGCGGGTGACATAACCGACAGAGATTTACTTCTTACAATTCTAGAGGTTGGAGTCCAAGGTCAAGGTGCTGGCCAAGTTGGTTCGTTGTGAGTCTCTTCTATTGGCTTGGCTTGTAGGTGGCCGCCATCTTGACATGTGCTCTCATGGCCTTTCCTCAGTGCTTGCGTGCAGGTTCTTAGGGGTCTCTTTTCTTAAGGACCCTGATCTCATCAGGGCCCCACCCTCATGACCTCATTTCACTTTAATTACTTCCTTAGAAGCCCCATCTCCAAATATAGCCACACTAGGGTTAAGGCTTCAGCATATAAATTTTGGGGGGGCACCAACATTCAGCCTCATGAGTTGGCATCACCTGGGACCTGGTTTTTAGCCCTGGAGGAACAAAAGTAGCCTTAGTTTCTCACAAGCTCCCTGGACCTGACCTCTGATAAGTCTGCTGACAAGAACCTAGTAATGTCTATACCAGACTGCAAGTTTAGTAGTTTACATTACGGGATCTTCCTTCCTACAGTAAGATGTGTGTTCCTGGGGCGCCTGGGTGGCTCAGTCGGTTGAGTGTCCGACTTCGGCTCAGGTCAGGGCCTTGCAGTTTGTGAGTTCGAGCCCCGTGTCGGGCTCTGTGCCGACAGCTGAGAGCCTGGAGCCTGCTTTAGAGTCTGTGTCTCCCTCTCTCTGCCCCTTCCCCACTCGTGCTCTGTCTCTCTCTGTCTCTCAAAAATGAATAAACGTTAAAAAAAAAAATGTGTGTTCCTGCTCTTCCAAATGCTCCTTTTTGGTGACAGGACCCTGCATTAGGCTTCAAAGACTTATTACCAAGCACGGAACCAGAGCAGAGAGAGGTGGGTGGTGCCGAGACATTCTGATGGCTATTCCGGCCCCACTGCAGAGGACGCCCCATGCAGTTGGTTTGCTTGAGCTCTGTCGGATTCAGGCGCCGGAACTGTGAGGCCTGCCTTGATTGCATCCCTGCCCCTGAGCATGGTCTGCAGGTGACCTGCTGGACTGCACGGCCTGTGTGCTCAGGGTGGATGGGTCCACAAGTGGTCAAAGGTGCCCACCACCTTCCTGCCTCAGGGCCTTTGGGCACTTGCCCTTGTAAGACCCTATTACACCTGCAGTTATCCTCTGTGTGTCTCTCTCTTTTACCCATCTGCTATCTAGCTGTCACTCTGATAAAACTCCACATGGATCAGCTGTCTCCCAGGTGCCTGGAATAGTGTGAGCTCTCTGTAGGCATTCAGTAACGGGCTGTTGAATGAACGATTGGCTGATCCATTTATCACTGTACGTTTCGGTCTGCGACTTTTCCTTAGCGTTTTAAGAAAGCCTCATGCCGACTATACTATTTCCCATGCAGATGAGATTTGGCAGATTTTAACCATTTGTTGAAGAGACGCTGGTACCATTGAAAATCCAATCACCGAACTGCAGGGTTGGCAGGAGCCCCATTATGTTATGTCTCTAGAAGTTGATTATTTCCTCCTTGAGCAGCTCCAGTTGCTAGAAACTTCTTATGTTGAGTCCACATCCCTCCTGCCGAGACTTCGGTCCTCTGAGCCCTGGAAACAGCTCCAACTCTTCTTCCACTTGTTAGTCCTACTTTCACCTGATCGTCGATTGATACGGGGTTTTGTGGTGTCTTTGCCGTCTTGGCCATTTCAGTGCGACGTTGCTCTGGTCATTCAGTGCCTTAGAGGGGACCCAGACTTGAATACAGAATTCCTGGTGTGGTCTGGCCAGCGTGGAGCAGCCCGGGCCTCCTTCCTTCACTCCTGTCCTGCCTTCCCCCCCTCTCTCGTTGGACAGCATGGTCTAAGGTGCACACAGCACTGTACCGGCTGTGGTCCAGCACTGGACGGTAAAATATTTCCATCCTTTCTTCAGCAGCTTTGTCCGTATTACCCCTGTGTGGTGTGCTCAGTACTCAGGGGGTTTTATGAAACTTGAAGGTGTCTGAATAACACACACACACACACACACACACACACACACACACACACACACACACCTGTAGTAGGTAATGAAAGTGTCTTGCTGCTCTGTGTAACAAACACCTAACACCTTTTGGCTTTTGTTTTTGACAGTTTTATGTCTCACCTCAACTGGCCACTTTTGTTTTGAGTGTGGTGCCTCCAATATCCGTCCTTGCTGTGATTTATGGACGTTACCTACAGAAGCTAACCAAAGTTATGCAGGATTCCCTGGCACAGACCACTCAGGTAAAAGCCCCTCCCTTACGTGGTCTCCGCTTGGAGGAGATGTGCTTCTGCTTTTCAAAAAAGTACTTCACTTTTCCTTAAGGGAGCCCTCAAGAAGGCTAGAAACCCAGACTAGGTTTCTATGGGCTAGAATCCTATAGATTCTATCCTTCTAGAATAGGCTAGAATCCTAGAAACCTAAAACACTCTGCCTTCTAGACTAGATTACTACCCACACCTTGAAGTAGATCCCACTTGACTAAACATTGTGTGAACTCTTTAGTTCTTTACCATCACTGTTTCTTATAGGATCACAAAGCTCATTATATTTTGAAAATAATGTCTGCGTGACGCTTTGTCCTTCGTTAATTGAGAAGTGAAGCTTTGCAATGCTATCCAGTATTGCATTTTTTAAAAACTAAACATAGCTGGTACATTTTCATGTTACAAAAAACATGGGTGTTTATAATTGAAAACTTGAAAATATCAAGAGAAAAAATAACACATAAAACTCTACCTCTCAGAATGAATGGTATTAACATTTTGGAGTCTATCCTTTTTACCTACCTTTTTCTCTGTATAAAAATATATTTCACAGGGCACCCGGGTGGCTCAGTCGGTTAAGCATCCAACTCTTAATTTCGACTCACAATCTCACAGTTTCGTGAGTTCGAGCCCCGCGCTGGTCTCTGCACTGACCACACACAGCCTACTTGGGATTCTTTCTGTATCTACTCTCTCTCTCGCTCCCTCTCTCTCTCTCTTTCTCTCTCTCTCTCTGCCCCTACCCTGCTCGTACTCTCTCTGTCTCTCTCAAAATAAGTCAACTTTAAAAATATATATATATTTCAGCATCTATTAGCCCCTGTTTGCCTTTCTATCTACATATATATGGCGTGTAAATGTGTAAATATAACAAAAATATGTTTCCAAAAATAAAATTGTTCATATACTCTGCTTTGTAATCTATTTTTAATGTCTTAAAAATGAGAGCCCCATTTTAACTTTGCTCTAGAAATCTTGAAATGTGACTTTCCTCCCCTGAAATGTATTTATTATTCTCCCAGCTAGCTGAGGAAAGTATTGGAAATATAAGAACTGTTCGAGCTTTTGGGAAAGAAATAACAGAAATAGAGAAATACACCAGCAAAGTGGACCACGTGATGCAGTTAGCAAGGAAAGAGGCGTTTGCTCGGGCTGGCTTCTTTGGAGCAGTAAGTAGATCATTTTGAAAAGAGTGCAAAGGACAGATGTTACGACTGAAACAGATTTGTATTCCCTTGACTTTGCCGTAAATAGAAAATAATTCTACTCCACTTCAAGATTAGGTCTGAGAGTTCATTTTTGTGAAAGAAGAGGAAACCACTGCATGTGACTAAGCGGCGGTGGGTGAGGAGACCAACACGCGTGGGGGCAGGCAGATCCCCAACATGGCCCAGACCAGCCACGTCCGCCTCACCGGGGAACTGTCTAGAAGTGTAGACCCTCAGCTGCACCCCAGGCCTACAAATCCAATGCTCTGGGGCTGCGCCCAGCAACAGTCTGTTTTAACAGGCCTCCAGGTCGCTTCTGATGCAGGCAGTTTGAGACCCGCTGGGGATTAACCAAAATAACTTCAGTGTGTTTCAAGAAAAAAGTATGACAGAAATGATCGCATTGATCACAATGAACTCAAATACAACACTGAACTAGAAACTCACCGTGAGCGGGAAATCTATACCATGTTCAAATGGGAAAGAACTTCAGAGGCGATTCAATAATGGTCATGATTTAGGGACACAGAGGAAACGGGCCCAGATGAGGCAGCATTACCAAAGACCATGTACCTAACAAAGCTCAAGGCAGATCAGAGACAGGACTCCAACTTCTTGTCTAGCCTTTGCTCAGGGCATCACATTAAGATACATAAATGCATATGCTTGCTGTGCATTCGTCTTGTTAGGGAGGGAGTCCTTAATGTTGTGTTTTCCTTTGCAAACCGAGTCCATTGAGTAAAATAGGAATCTGCTGGGTGACTTAGCTTCTAGGTTTTCACGTTGATGAGATCACTTCCTTCAATACTGTGATCTTTCCAAAGTAGTTTTTTATTTGAAATTCAGATTAAAACTTAGTGTTCTGGGAAAACCTTGTTGTGATAGTTAAATGCAAAAAAGAAACTATAGGCCATATTTACACTTTTTGCATTTAGGTTTCTGGCTCCTACCTGAGGTGTCTTCATTTTCTTCATTTGACAGACGGGGCTCTCCGGGAACCTGATTGTGCTTTCTGTCCTGTACAAAGGAGGGCTGCTGATGGGCAGTGCCCACATGACCGTGGGTGAACTCTCTTCCTTCCTAATGTATGCTTTCTGGGTTGGATTAAGCATTGGAGGTATATAATTTAAATAGGCTTGGGAGTTACAAATTAAAACTCAGCTTATTGTCTCTGCGGTAACAATTTAACTTTGCCATTGCACCACCTCTCGTCAGTTAACTTCAACTGAGAAAAACATTTCCTAGAATGTTAGTCCAAATTGCCTCTGAAAGAAGACGTAAAGATACGGACGCGATCTTGCCATGTAGGTGAGCAGTTCCTTGGCTGGGAAGGTGAGGATTTTCATAGGCCTCTCGTGGCTCATTGAGCTCAGGGTCATACTGGAGCCGTATTTTCCAACTTGCATGCTAACACGGCTTGCTGGCTCTGGTCCTAGGAGGTGGGACCAGCAGGCGGGGGCTCTGGGACCTAGGAGGTGGAAGGAAGGACAGTGCTGAACAGGTGCGCACACAAAACCCACGGTTCCTGTGGCTCTGGTAGTTACCCGACCGACAAATCACCGTGAAATAAAATTCCTTTTGTACCAAGTCAACCACATTCAAAGCCGATGAACAGTCGTAAGTATAAATCAGAAAGTGCGTGAAGCAGAGTCGCTTGCCTTGGTCAAGAATCTCTCGAAGTTCAGCTTCTGTTGTTGAATCCTGGCCAAAGGGAAGCAAGTTCTTGGAGACAGAGCTGTGTGAAGTCTATGAAAGTTTTCTTTCCTGTACCTCGCCTGCATGCCCAGCCAACAGGGGACAAATGGTTTCCTGCCTTTTGTTTTCCTCCTTCCCTGAAAACTGAGATAGAAAGGTTAGATAAATAGCTTGAGGTCTGGCCAGCGGAACTCTGGTATCCCACCGTGGCATCTCCACCCAAGACGTTTCTTTTCAGGGTTAAAGCTAGAGGCTTTTCCTTAGACGTTGGCAGGCAAGTGAGGATATTTTCTGGACTGAGATTTTGAGAGATCCCTGAAAAGAGCATGTTAGTTCTGCGGGCTGCTCTGGAAGAAAAACCTGATTCAGACCGGTCAGGGTGCTAAGTGACTTGGGAAGTGAGAGGGTCGGTTCTCGAGGACCCGGTGAGGTGGGGTTGCTCTCCTCTCTACCCCTGGGATGAGCCTGCTGGGCCACAGGGTCTCACACCTGGGTGGTCGTGTTCCTTCAGTCTTCTGTCCTGCCCGAGAGTGGATTTACCTTCTACCACTTACCCTCTCTGCGGCCTTTCTTTCACATCCCACGCTTGACCGCAGTCTGCTGTCCTCCCCAGCCTCCCCCAATCTTCTGTTTTCTGCCACAAGCTGCTTTGATCTTTCTTAGTCCCTCCGCTCCTCGCACCTGCTTTTCTCCAAAATTCTTGACCCGACAGAAGCTACCGCTGTTTTGGGGTCTTCACTGCCTTCCTTTTTGTCCGGACAAGTTCGCAGCTGTGTCTTGTACAGGAGTAGGTGGGAAACACCGTGTACCGGGTGACTGACCGGGAGTTAATTCCCTCCCCCAGTTACGGAAGCTGCTGCTGAGGCTTTGTCTGTGCTCGAGGTTTGAGGGTAACTTTGCTTTCTGAACCACAGGCTGTCCCGTGACTCTGGTCACTGCCTGGTACAATACGTGCCATGTGGGGCTGGAGGGGGGAGAAAAGGTGCGGGTAGATGGGTGGGGATCTGTGACCACACGGTGTCCCCACATTTACAACCTAGATAGGTACTTAAGGCTGTAGGAACTTGATTCAAGAAGCTGAAACAGATTTTAAAGGTTTTTGTGAAGCTCACTGTTGAAAATAATCGCATGATGAATCTGTAAGCAAGAAATCCTATTTTGTTTATTAGAATGTATTTAATAATTAAATGTTAAAGAATGTTTAGATGTTTTCTGCTTAGAATAGCATACTGAAAAACAAATACAACAAATTCTACGTATATTTGAGAGAGGATCAGAAGGGCTGTTTGAAGAAAAGCATGTTTGTTTGTTTTGTGCCAGAGAATGCCCTTACATCTACCTAGCGAACCCCAATATCTCGTTTCTTATTTATTTCTATTGAGGTGAAATTCACCTAACGTACCGTGAACCGTTTGAAAGTCTACAGTCCGGTGGTATTTTGTACATTCACAGTGTTGTGCAACCACCGCCTCCCCTTGGTTCCGAAATATCTTCGTCACCCCCCACACCCCCAGCCCAAAAAGAAAATCCCATACTCGTTAAGCAGTCGGTTTCCATATCCCTCCCTCCCCCAGCCCCTGGCAACCACAGTTTGCTTTGTGTCTTCCCGTCTTTACTGGAGTTCGCATAAAAGGAATCACACAATATGCGGCCTTGTATGTTTGGCTCGTTTCACTCAGCACGTTTTCAGAATTCGCTCACATTGTAGCGTGCTTTGGTCCTTCCTTCCTTTTCACGGCTGACTAATACTCCGTTGTATGGGTGGACCGCGTGTTGTGTATCCGGGGCCATTTTGCTTTGTTTTTATTTTCACTATGTTGAACTACCTCCAACCCCTTCCCTCCTTTTTCCTTTTTTCTTTTTTTTTTTTCTTTTTTATTAATAGAAAATTTGTTAGAGGGATTTTAGGCTCACAACAAGATAAAGCAGAGAGTATAGGGAGTTCCCACATGTTCCCTGCCCCTACGCGAGCACAGCCTCCCCGTCAGCATCCCCCACTAGAGTGACACATTTGTTATCATTGACAAAGCAACACCGACAGGTGATTATCACCCAAAGTCCAAAGTCCATCGTTCACATTACGTTCACTGGTGTTGTATATCCCATGGGTTGGAACATGCATCCATCATTACAGTATCATTACAGTATCATACAGAATACTTTCACCGCCCTAAAAGTCCTCTGTGCTCTGCCTGTTCCTCCCTTCCCTTAACCCCCGGTGACCACCGATCTTTTTATTGTCTCCACACTTTCACCTCTTCCAGAGGGTCATCTAGTTCAGATAGGCATCTTTCATTTCGTAGGTGGCATTTAGTGTTCCTCTGTGTCCTTTCAGGACTTGATCGCTCGTTTGGTTTTAGCACGGACTAATATTGCATCGTCCGACGTACCACGGTTTCTTTACCCAACCCACATTCTGAACGACATCTCGATTGCTTCCAGGTTTTGGCAATTATGAATAAAGATGCTCTAAAGATCCACAGGCAGGTTTTTGTGCCGACGTGAGTTTTCCCCCTCTGTGGGTAAACCCAAAGGAGTGAGATTGCTGGGTCGTAGGCAAGAGTAGGTTCGGTGTAAGGAACTGCCTTCCAAAGTGGCTGTGCTATCTTGCATTCCCACCAGCAGTGAATGAGAGCTCCCAATGCTCTTCGTCCTCACCAGCTTTAGGTGTTGTCAGAATCTTGGGTTTTCATCCTTCCGTTAGGTGTGCAGAAGTATCTTGTTCTATTTGCATTTCCCCGATGACATGTGATGTCACCTGTAGATCTTTACTGAGGTCTTTGGGTTCAGGTCTTCTGCCCATTTTTTGATCGGGTTGTTTTCTTACTGTCGAGTATGAAGAGTTCTTTGTACATCGTGGATACCTTTGTCAGCTGGGTCTTTTACAAATATTTTCTCCCAGTCTGTGGCTTGTCTTCTCATTCTCTCTGGAGAGCACAAGTTTTTGATTTTAATGAAGTCTAATTTGCCAGTTCTTTCTTTCATGGATCATGGGTTTGGTGTTGTATCTACAAAGTCATCACCAAGCCCAGAGTCATCTAGGATTTGTCCTATGTTAACTTCTAAGAGTTTTACAGTTTTGTTTTTTACGTTGAAGTCTGTGATCCATTTTGAGTAATTTTTGTGAAGGGCATGAGGTCTGTGTCTAGATTCTTTTTTTTTTTTTGCATGTGGATGTCCAGTTTTTCCAGCACCACTTGTTAAGACCATCCTTTCTTTATTGAATTGCCTTTGCTCATTTGTCAAAGATCAGTGAACGATATTTATCTGGATCTATTTCTGCCCGGTGCACTTTTAATTCAACACGAAGAGTTTAATCCACTGTATCTTGCACAGATTTCCACAAAAAAATGCAAAATACAGCAGAAAGAACTCAGCTAGATTGCATTTTGTGGTATCGCCGCACATGTTACAAGTATTCTTCGCGGTTGCTTGAAGCCCCTATAAGCGTGCTTAGGTTTGTTTTGCTTTAAGTCATTAATTCATTCACACTTCAAAGGTGACTTTGGGGTACCTAGGTGTCTCAGTCGGTAAAGCATCCGGTTCTTCATCTCAGCTCAGGTATTGATCTCGGGGTCTGAGTTCAGGCCCCGTGTTGGGTTCCTCGCTGCGTGGGGAGCTTATTTAAAAAACAAACAGAGCCTGGGTGGCGCCCAGTGGGTCGCGTCCGACTTCAGCCAGATCCGCGATCTGCAGTCCGTGAGTTCAGGCCCAGCGTCGGGCTCTGGGCTGATGGCTCAGAGCCTGGGCCTGTTTCGATTCTGTGTCTCCCTCTCTCTCTGCCCCTCCCCCCGTTCATGCTCTATCTCTCATCCAAAATAAATAAGCGTTGAAAAAAAAAAAACAACAACAAAAAAAAAAAAATAAGCATTGAAACCTGGGTGGCTCCGTCAGTTAAGCACGATGTTAGCAATGGTCGCTGATCTCACAGTCGTGAGTTCAGCCTGCTCCGGGCTCTGTGCTGACAACTCCGGAGCCTGGAGCTGCAACTAGATTCTGTGTCTCCCTCTCTCTCTGACCCTCCCCCATTCATGCTCTGTCTCTCTCTCTCTCTCAAAAATAAATGAACATTAAAACAAACAAAAACAAAGGTGACTTTAAAAAGAGATTGTTGGAAAATTTAACATTTCTAAATTCCTTTTCAGTTTTTAGCCTAGTAAAAGTTGTATTTGTCGAGTGCTTGAAATGGGGTTTGATTTTGCAGATATGAATTTAAAATGAATATTGGGATGTTTTATATTCCTTTTAAGTAAGCATTATATTCTATTTGTATTGCTGTTTTTTCACTAGGTAGCTTTTCTCTGTAATGTTGTGATTTTAATTCAGTGGTTGATTACTGTGGCTATATGCATTTGTAAATTCCCAATCAAACATGAAATCTGTATTAGAAATCAGTGAAATCGGAGGAGGAGAAGCTGAAGGCAAACAAGGGTATGAGACAGAGGGAATTTTGAGTACAGATTCCCAGGCAGTTGCCTCAAATCCTGTTTGAAAGTGAACAGATGTTATATTAAAAGCAAGTTACCCTTACTGTTTGCAGAGGGCTGTAGCAGATGGTTGTTTCCTGGCATTGGTGGTGAGTATGTTTGCTTCTTGTCCTTAGGGCTGAGCTCTTTCTACTCGGAGCTGATGAAAGGGCTGGGTGCCGGGGGACGCCTTTGGGAGCTCCTCGAGAGAAAGCCTGAGCTGCCTTTTGACGGTGGGTATCCCACGGGTTTGTTCTTTGCTGGGATTAGACAAATGTTGCTTTGGGGGTGCCTGGGTGGCTCAGTTGGCTGAGCATCCAACTTTTGATTTCAGCTCGGGTCATGATCTCGCAGTTCATGAGTTTGAACCCCCTCCCTTCCCCTCTGTGCTGGCGGCTCAGAGCCTGCTTGGGATTCTCTGCTTCTCCCTTGCTCGCTTGCGCTCTCTCTCTTTCTCTCTCTCAAAATAAATACCTAAACAGTTAAAAAAAAAAATGTGGCTTGGGACAGTTAGCCCAGCTCTACCTGTGAAGGCTGAGCATGACAAGGGTGTTGTCCTTGCCACGTTACGGAAAGGGTGATCAGAGGGGCAGGTGGTGGGAGGGGAAGGACAAAGGAAGCGTGGGGGCTGACCATGCAGTGTGTCAGTCCTGCCGGTGACTTGTTACCAAGAGCAGCAGGAAGGAAGCGAGTACCACCCGGGGGTACAGATGGGAAGGGCCCTGGCCAGTCCGCCAGATTTGTCTTCTGTAGTGCTTTTGATGTTTGTGTTGGGGCGAGGGCGGGGCGGGGGGAAAGGCAGGCAGGTCACACGTTAAAAGCCTCCAAATTTCTTGGCTTGGGGAGGGGGGTGGGCTAGCGGATGCTGGTGTTGATTGGCTAGAGCCATCTCCTTCGTCAACTCCTGCCCTAGAAGCTAGCGCTCCGGGGTGCTACGTGACCTAGAAGCAGTGGCCGCTCCGTCACTCGCTGACTCCCAGGACACTGATTGCTGCTCAGCCCCAGTATTCTCCAGTGTGACAGGCTGGAGGAAGTAAGCCCGGCTGAGGGAGATGGAGTGGCTTCTCCCGAGTCATCGGCAGGGTGAGGAATACGAGGACAGAGCAGCCCTCGGATCCCTCTGGCTCCGCGGCTGGTGTACAATGCTCAGCCCTCTGTCATCCTTCTCTCAAGACATTTAGAGAAGAGAAGATAAACCCTGCACCCGAGGAACTCGAGGTGGCGGCACAGAGCGGGGAGGCAATCGGCTTCGAAACCAGACTGCCCTACGGGTGGACGGTCGTGCCACTGCCCGTTGGCTTGGGCAGGCGGTTGTCTCTGAGACTCCGTGTCCCGTCAGTAAAACTGGGACAGTCACCTCTGCCCATCAAGGCCATGAGGCTCAGACGAACGCAGAGGTATCGTGCCTCGCACAGAGTGCGTGCAGAGCAGGCTCCGGGTGAGCGTTAGACGGAGGCCTCTTCCTGGCTTGCCCGGGAAGGGCTCACAGTCCGGGGGAGTGTGGTGGCCGTGGCCCGGCACCTCCTGGAGTCAGACGAGTAGGAGAATGGAGTTCCGCTGTCCGTTCGATCTTTGCGTTAAGTAATTCGTATTCTGTCTTGTTTCAGAAGGGGTCGTTTTAAACCAGGAAAGTTTCCAGGGCACTCTGGAGTTTCGGAACGTGCATTTCACCTACCCCGCTCGCCCGGAGGTGCCTATATTCCAGGATTTCAGCCTTTGTATCCCATCAGCGTCGGTCACGGCGCTGGTTGGCCCAAGTGGTTCTGGCAAATCAACGGTGCTGTCCCTCCTGCTGAGGTTGTATGACCCCGTTTCTGGTGAGTGGGTCATCGCCTGGTAGGGTGGGAGGCCTCTCCAGAGCCCCCCTACCCCTGTGTTCTGGGAGAGGACCAAATTATGCAACGACTTGTAGTGTGAGACTTCTGGATGCCAGAGGGTTTGTTCCGAGGAAAGGAAGCCCCTATACAAGGGGGTCCCTCTTAAGAGTACACAGAAGCCCCGTCAGGCAGTTTGTAGAGTTCCTGTCTGGCCTCTTCAAGTCCCGAGCGACTTCCTGAATTCTGCCTCCTCTCCCGTGCCGGTGTCTCCTTCTGACGCCCCCATCCTGGGAGAGGACAGGCAGGGCTGCCCCGCAGCTACGGGAAGGTGCCCCACGTGTGGCAGAGCATCACTGCCCAGCAGCCGCAGAGTAAGTGCCTCTCTGTGCCAGCCACTCAGCTTGTAAAGCTTCTCTGGAAGCCTTCGGGCTGCATCCTCCCATGAACTGCCCCGTGGCCAGCGTGCAGACCAGTGATTTCGCAGTCTGTGGTTCACTTCTAGTTTGTGACTGCTTTCTTGAAGTCATTTTGAGGTAGTAGGAATTTTTTTAATGGATTTTTCTCGCCCTGGTTTTTATTTTGTTTTTAACTGGATCATAGCATCTTTTAGAGCAGAGAACATGTTATTTTACTTCCTTATGTCCTTTGTCAATTAAGATGTAATTGACATATAGTATTATATTAGTTCTGGGTGTACAACCTGATTTGCTGTATGTATATCTTATGGAAGGTCTAGTTAACATCCATCACCACACATAATTATAAAGTCTATATCCTTCTTTATAACAGAGCCTGAAGTAGATAGTCCTTATGTATGGCTTTCATTCTGGATTGAGACAACAAGGATGTTTCTCAACAAGAAAACAACTGCTTGTTAGTAAAGAACCACATCATTAATTTAAAATGAATACGTCTCGTGGCTTTTGTAGCTGTGCTTTTTGGTTAAAAAAACGAGAGAGCTGGCTGTGTGCCAGATAAGTATTTGCCTTGTGGATCCTGACCCGCAGAATAGCCAACTGCATTAAAATGGGTGTTAGCTCCACTGTTTGCCTCTGGAATCCCCGTTTTGATTCACTCTACTTGCTATAAAATTCTGAATTGAGAAAAGTCCTAGTGAAGTGAATGCAAAGCAAGTCAGAATATTAAGCCTGTGGTTTCTTTATCATAAACTGCCTTATCATAAATTCCAGCCTTGGGTAGACTATATATAAATATATATACACTTGTACTTTTTAAGCCAAAGACCTCAGATGTTTGCCAGTTGGCGAACGTTTACAGCTGGCTTGTAGAATCCCACACCACTGAGAAGGAATGGCATTTCTGAGTCACCATCATCGTCATCACCAAGCATTACTGAGCGTCGTAGAATTAATTCTGTTAGCGAGGGTCGCAGGGTTACATCTGATTATTTAGATGTTCTGCTCTGGTATCAGATTCTCGGTGGCGGATAATGATTCTCCTCCAACTGCATTTGTGCAGGAAGAGATAGTTTAAGGAAGAATAAAAGAGCTAAAAAAAAAAAAAAATCACTGGCGGGGTTAAACTTCCAGGACACGTCTCGTAACTTCACTGCAGAACCAGGCCTTCGAGGTGGTTGCTGATGCTGACGTGGCCCGCAAGCTCCAGGGTGAGGCAGCCACTGTCACAGGCGCCAGCTTCAGAGCTGTGCCACCACCGCCAGCGTCTGTGACAGCCAATGGACACCTCGCTGCTTGCCCCCTTCCGTGTAACTCTCTCCTGAGTCAGTTTCGCGCAGGTGCATCTTCTTGTGGGGCCCTGAGTCATTCCAGAAAGGAAGCCATTGCAGCAAAGTGAGCTGCGTGGATGAGCGAGGAGACAGGCTGGTCAGCTACCCGCTGCAGGGAGACGGGAGACATGGAAGTTCCATGAAACATGTTGATTTTAGATTCCGTTTGGAGATTTTGAATGTACTTGTAATCTTTGAAAGAACCGAGTGTGGAATTTTTCCACCAGACCCTTTCTCTGTTTTCATGAGTCATTGGCCCCGTGACACTCCGTGACTTTCCTCTCCTCTCTACAAGGAACTATCAGTCTCGATGGCCATGATATCCGTCAGCTAAATCCAGTCTGGCTGAGATCCAAGATTGGGACAGTGAGTCAGGTAGGAAGAGAGGTTTCTATTTTTATCGTACTTGTCCTTTCACTTTGCTTTTATTATTTATTTTTGCCTTAGACTGACCCTCCCAAAAGAGAAGGAAGTTTTCCAGATGTACCGAACTGATCTCACCCCCAGGTTTTGTAGATTTGGAAACAGAGCTGTATCTTGCAGACCTTAAACACTTGATCCAATAGAAAACCGATTTTTATCAAAAGCTGGGGCGGGGCGCCTGGGTGGTGCAGTCGGTTAAGCGTCCCACTTCAGCCAGGTCACGATCTCGGATCTCGCGGTCTGTGAGTTCGAGCCCCGCGTCAGGCTCTGGGCTGATGGCTCAGAGCCTGGAGCCTGCTTCCGATTCTGTGACTCCCTCTCTCTCTGCCCCTCCCTCTTTCATGCTCTGTCTCTCTCTGTCCCAAAAATAAATAAACGTTGAAAAAAAAAATTTTTTAAAAAAAAGCTGGGGACTCATGTTACTTTGTAGAGCAGATAGTCTAGAGGGTGAGGAGAAAACAATAGAACTTTTCTACGTTTTACTGACTCCTCCACAGTTCCCATCTTGGTCACCAGCACAGTCTATGGTTTTCCACAATGGGCTTCAGGGATAGTAAGCAAGCCAAGACTCGGGCAAGAGCCAGCGTCTCCTTGCAAAGAGGTCGCGGATTTCGAGGCAAAATGTTAGTGTAATACGGCGGCTTTGATGGGGCTGTTTTCACGAGACCCTTTGGTGCAGGGAATTTTTGACGCAGTTGTTTATATTTTTATTACCAGGCTATGTGCACAGCAGACAAATCTGAGCCTCCCCTCAGACCTTACCCCTGCCCCCACTCCCCTAGGCGAGGAGCAGGGGCGGGGGGTTGCTTGGTTGTATAAGTATACCAGTAGTGCATATTGTTTAGGGATGCAGAAAAGAAGCTGGAGGTTTATTTGCTTCTCAGGACTGTTCCACAGCGTTCTGTGAAAATGTCATGTTCCCACCTGGTTTGTGTATATTTCTAAAAGTAATGAATAGAGATGGATTCCCCCCTTGATTCTCAGTGGGAAGCCCACAGCTGGAAAATTCAGGTGGACTCGGCATCTTCCATACCTGACAATTCCTAAGGGGAGGAGCTTGCATTTATGAAGTGTCTACCGTGTGCCAGGCACCTGCTGTGGAATCTCATTTCCTGCAGTATAATGATGAAGTCAATCCTGTTCATGGAACAACATGAATTTTTTAGAAGTCGGCTGGGCGAATTTATGGAGAATGAGGGAGTAGGATTGAGAAAACAGTATACAGCTGACCCTTGAACAACATGGGTTTGAATTGCATGGGGCCACTCATATGTGGATTTTTATAGTGCAGTACTGTGAATGTGCTTTCTCTTCCTTATGATTTCCTAATAACATTTTCTTTAGCTTGCTTTATTGGAAGAATACGGTATGGAATACATAGAACATACAAGATACATAGTAATCACCTGTTTTATGTTATCAGTAAGGCTTCCAGTCAGCAGTAGACTATTAGCGGCTAAGTTTTTGGGGAGTCGAAAGTTATACTCAGATTTTTGACTGCACGGGGATCAGCACCCGTCTAACCCTCATGTTACTCAGCGGCCGACTGTGTGTTCTTGGGGAGCAATTTAATAGTTTCTTAGATATAAGTACTGTATTAAGCTTCACTATATTTACTAGATATGTTTGAAGTCTGTGTTGAAATTTGCAATAAATATGTTGTATTTCCAATGTGCAGGAACCAGTTTTGTTTTCTTGCTCAATTGCTGAGAACATTGCTTATGGTGCGGACGACCCCTCCTCGGTGACTGCCGAGCAGATAGAAAAAGTGGCTGATGTAGCCAATGCAGGTGCTTTCATCCGGAATTTCCCCCAAGGATTCAACACTGTGGTCGGAGAAAAGGGCGTTCTCCTCTCAGGTACCTTTTTGTTACTGCTTTGTAGCGAAAACTTGCTGTTCCAGAGAACTCTCCAGCATTTCGTATGGCAGTATAAATTTCTAATTAGGCTCTTGTCCTTAGAGTTTATGCAATTTGCCTTTCCATTTTCTAAAATTTCTTCTGTATGTGGACTGCTCCCCAGTGTCCTTCACTTTCTACCCCAAAGGTGTTCCCAGATTCCCACGCAGTGTCCCACTGAGTAATAGCCACAGCAGCTTTTTTCTCACCTGAGAAAAAATGTGTTTTGCAACTTGAAATCCTTGAATTTTGCAGAAAAGAAGACAAACACAGGGTAGCAAGATGATCTGTCCAGGGAGGCAGAGGCTGTGAATCAGGAACAGAACTGAAATTGAAGAATTCTTTATTCCCCACTCTGTACTTTGCCCGTTAGACCAGGAGTTTCATTAAAGGGCCAGAGAGTAAATATTTTTAAAAATGATTTTTTAATGTTTATTTAATTTGGATGGGGAGAGAGAGACAGAGACAGAGACAGAGAGAGAGAGAGAGAGAGAGACAGACAAAGTGCAAGTGGGGGAGGAGCAGAGAGAGAGAGAGGGAGACACAGAATCCGAAACAGGCTCCAGGCTCTGAGCCATCAGCACAGAGCCTGATGCGGGGCTCGAACTCACAAACTGCGAGATCATGACCTGAGCTGAAGTCAGACACTTAACCGACTGAGCCACCCAGGCGCCCCAGTGGTTTATTCTCTTGGTTTTCTCCTGTTCTGTGCACGCACACAGACTGCTCCCTGTGCCTGTTGTCCCCCAGGAAAGGAAAGACAAGAGGACAGCATGAGGACGGAAGGTGTCGGGAGTAGCGCCCTGAGGTAGAGCAGCAGAATGACAGGCCCCAGCACCACGGATGCCCTCTGCTCCCGTATCGGCTCCCATCCCCTTCACATACTGTTCAGAGACCCCTTGATGTCTTGAGTTTCTGGTTTCCTTGCCACATGGGATGTTCTGCAAGGGAACCGGTACATGTAGCGGTTAAGAGCATAGGCCTTCGCTGTTGGTTCAGACCTCCGCTCTGCCACCTACCAACTATAGACCTCAGACTGATTATTTTCTGCCTTGGTTTTTCATCCGTGAAAAGGGAATGATTACAGAATCTACTTCATAGGATTTTTTCAAGATTGAACGAGATAACATCGTAACACATTCAGACAATGCCCGGCACAGCAGAACTCCTCAGTAAATGTTAGCTACGATAATAATGTTTGTTACTAATTTTGAGGTTGGTGAGGCGACAGTATATTTTAAACAGAGGTCTCTGTCCCCCGACCCACCTCAGCTGTGACTAACTGGAAGAAGCTGTCTTCAAACTGCCGCGTAGCTGATCAGAAAATCCTATTACCAAGAATTTTTGTTAAGGCTTTCAAGTTTTTTAAAAAAAAACATTGTCATTGTCAGGTGGACAGAAACAGCGGATTGCAATTGCCCGTGCTCTGCTTAAGGTAAGCTTCAAGCCACTTGGCCGGGATTTTTTGTTGTTCTTGTTATCATTTTTAATTAGGGAGCTTATCATTTGTAATTTACTACTCTTCTTCCTTTTGTTTTTTTGGAGGGGGAGGCGAGGTACGTGGTTGAGAGTTCTGGTGAAAGATGGGTGGGGAGTGTTCCACCCGGTACGTCTCATCCCAATTTAACAAGTATTTCTTGGGTATGAGGAGCCCAGGACTATGCTAGAGTTGTTGGAGGGAGAGAAGTTTGGCACATGAACCTTCCATCCTGAAGTATACAGTCTAGTGAGTGAAACAGTGATTAATTCAAAATATCAAACAATACAAGTATGATTCCTTGTATCGTCTATAGTCACCTGCTCAACTTAATAGTAGTACAGACTGGAAATACTTATACAGGACTCCTAAGAAGAGAGGGAAAGCCATTTTAGCTTAAGACCCCAGACATTGTATTTCTTAGCAAATGATAGCCTTCCCCTTTGTTGTATAACTGTTCTCCTCAGGGTCATAGGTGAGGTTTTACTTTAAAACTTTTTTTATGAAAAAAAATTTTGTTTAAGTTTACTTATCATTTATTTTTTGAGAGAGAGTGAGAGTGCATGAATGAGGGAGGGGGCAAAGACTGAGGGAAAGAGAGAGATTTCTAAGAGGGCTCTGTGCTGACAGCAGTGAGCTCGATGCAGGGCTTGAACTCACAAACCATGAGATGACCTGAGCCAAAATCAAGAGTCCGACATCTAACCAACTGAGCCACCCAGGTGCCCCTAAAACTTTTTTTTAAATGGTTACTTATTTTGAGAGAGAGAGAGAGTGTGTGTGTGAGTGAGGGAGGGGTGGAGACAGAGAGAGAGAGAGAGTGAGGGAGGGGCAGAGAGAGAGAATCACAAGCGGGCTCCAGCTGTGAGCTCAGAACCTGATGTGGGGCTCGATCCCACGAGTCGTGAGGTCATGACCTGAGCCAAAATCGAGTCGGACACTTAACCGACTGAGCCACCCCGGCGCCCTCTTAGGTAAGGTTTTAAAAAACAGCTATATTGGGGCGCCTGGGTGGCGCAGTCGGTTAAGCGTCCAACTTCAGCCAGGTCACGATCTCGCGGTCCGTGAGTTCGAGCCCCGCGTCGGGCTCTGGGCTGATGGCTCAGAGCCTGGAGCCTGTTTCCGATTCTGTGTCTCCCTCTCTCTCTGCCCCTCCCCCATTCACGCTCTGTCTCTCTCTGTCCCCAAAATAAATAAACATTGAAAAAAAAAATTAAAAAAAAAACAAAAACAGCTATATTGAAGCATGCCATAAAATTCACCAGTTTTAAATGTACTTTTCAGCGACCTTTAGGAAATTTACTATTGCTCAACTGTCACATGGTCCAATTTTAGAACATTTCTATCACCCCAGATTCCCTTAGACACACTTGTAGCTTTTCTCCTCCCCACCTCTAGTCCCAGGCCATCACCACTGTAATTTCTATCTGTCTGGATTTGCCTTTCTGGACATTTGAGATCAATGGAGTCCTACAGTTTGTAGAATTTTGGGTTTGGCTTCTTTCACTTGGCAGAATGTTTTCAAGGTTCATCCCGGTTGTGTCACGTATCAATACTTTTTTTTTTTTTATTCCTGAGAGTTTGTGTTTTCCTAATAAAATTGTGTTCCTTTTCTTTTTAACGTTTTTCTTTCTTCAGAATCCCAAAATCCTTCTCCTAGACGAAGCAACCAGGTGAGGATATCTTAATCGTATGTGTGATTGTATAAGCCACATTCTTCCTTTACCAAATATGACTCCTTACCTCCAAGTGATACAGCTGAAAAATGCTGTTTTCCCCCCTTCCACTTTAAAGTGCCCGCATGTGACTTAACGAGGCCAGTGGACAGGCTGAGTCGTAAGTTGAGTGTTCTAGTCTCAACCTAGACGCGTTTGTGATGAGCCCCGAGTCACCCTACTCAGCAGCGGTCCCGCAAGTTGTGTGGAAATCAAGGGTTCCGAGCTTCCTTTGTAGTATCTTTACACTATAAGAGGTAGATAGTAAACCCAAGAGGTTGTCATTTTGATCGCAGTGAAAGTTCACTGCCGGTTCAGGACAGCTGTGTGTCCAACAGGAAGCACGTAAATACGCAGTATGGGTGGCACTGACAGCTTTGCTTTCTCATGTGGGTTTCCTGTTTAAGTGCCCTGGATGCTGAAAATGAGTACCTTGTGCAAGAAGCTCTGGACCGACTCATGGAAGGTAGGACGGTGTTGATTATTGCCCACCGTCTGTCCACCATTAAGAATGCTAATACGGTGGCTGTTCTTGACCAAGGAAAGATCACAGAACGTGGGAGACATGAAGAACTTCTTTCAAAACCCAACGGGATATACAGAAGATTAATGAACAAGCAAAGTTGAGTCCGCATAAAGAAGTAGTTACCGATGAAGTGAACGCGAGAGACTTTAGAGCGAAACATGGTCACAGGAATAAACGAACTTAGGATGTGAAATCTGGGCATCACACTGCAAGTTATCTTAAGTATGCCTGTTTTTTCCCAGGGTGGGTAAAATATTGTTTTGAGATGCACCTGTTCTCAAGACCTTTTTATTCAGAGTTTTAATCATGGTAACTTTCTAAATGTCTCTAGCACTGAGATTATTTTCAGGTGTTTTACTTTCTTTTATCTTGGAATACTTTAGTTAATATAACGTGGCACCTCATTTGTTTTTTCTTACCTGCCATTACAGATTGAAACTATTGTCACATGACAATTTTTAAAAGGGGATTTTAAATAAAAGGCTTAATTATTTTAGGTGAGTTTTCCAATCACTGTGTAATCCTCTCGGTAGTATTCTACCTCCTTTGTGTCTAATTTTACTAGAAGATGAATATCTTCCCTTTTTTTTTAATTCTGGTAATCTCATGAAGTGAACCTCACATACAGACCTACAGAAATCGTAAACATCACGTGACAAGATGGGAACGTTTACATTCCATACTTCCTGTATTTTCAGAGGTATGAGAGTTTAGGAATATGTGTTCCTCTGGGATGAGACTGTTTGAATGTGTGTGGCTTTCAAAATCCTTAGCATGCGAAAGCCTGACGAGTTTTAAAAAGGGTTAAGAAGCCCATCCTTTGAATAAGAAAACTTCTATTTTCATTATTCACGCATTTGTTACTGTGGGAAGTGAGGCATGAACTGCCAGGTATTATTAAGAGGTAAAAATGAATTCTACATTGAAGTCACCCCAAGGCATGTATTTTGACAATTATCTTTAAAAAATGTATAATTCCTCACCAAATGTTACTTTTCATCATTAAATACATTTGAAATTTCACTCAATGAGGCAAAAGCCTAAATAATTTTCAGCCTTAAAACATTTGAAGAAAGCTTAGTTCTTTCTATTCTGTACAACGTCATGAAACGTTAAGAACTTGTCACTCCTAAAAAGAGGACAATAGTCATTTTTATTTATGGTTATAGTTTTATGCACCCAAATGCCTCGGAACTCATAAAGCAATGCTGAGAGCCGTTAGATTTGCCATATTTCAAACCAGTGCTGTTAATTTGCTGTTGCCTCAAGAAAAAGTGGTTTTTTTTTTTACATTGATGATGCCAGAATCTAAGAAATAACTATGTTGATGTAATGAAAATAGAGGTTTTCCCTTGTTCTACATATTTATAGTTCACTGATTATACTGGAAGGAGAAATCACTACTTCATGATAAGCACAGAGTATTAGATTTCATTCTACATAAAGGAGTTTATTATTGAATAAAGTGAACTCAGTGAATGAACGAACTCCATGTTCTTTGAATTAGGAAGCAGTACATCTGTGACAATCATTTTCACAACCTTTACTTGCATTCTTTATACAATTTGCTGTTATGGTGTGGTTCTCAGAAAGCTGACAAAACACAACGACAAGGGTGGATCTCTTTGTGCCATAGAAGTATTGACAAAATTGAATTTGATCATTACATTTTATTCTCTAATACAAAAATGTTCAATTGTGTCTTTAGGGAACATTTTATATCCTGGATTAAAATTTATAGTGAACTTTATCTGTGTCTGTCACTTCTTATAGAATTTTATTACATTCAGTTTCTCACTAGAATTTGGCTTTGGAGATTCAGAAATAAGGAAAAAACTGACATTACAAATAAAGTAAGTAGTAATTACAAGTTCCCTTCATTTCCTCCTTACCTAAGATTGTTACTGTCTTTTTTATTTTCTATTTATAAACTGTTAGAAGGTGAGGGAGGGATAGTAAAGTATCCCCCAAACTGAGACAGCATTGAAAGACTGGAAAACGAAGCAGGTGACTCCATTCAGTTTACACACGGTTTTATTCAAGGTAACTTACTGATGGGGGTTCGGGTGGACGACCATCCAGGCAGCTGCACAAATATTCTCCGCAAAGTTGACACCTTAGTCTAGAGATTTTATAGGGCACTATAGGGAGATCAAAGGGCTTGCATGCACCTGACCGCGAACCTGTAGTTAGATCTCGTGGCACCATCCAGGCGTCGCGCAGGGGAAAGACTATGTCATCTCTACAAGATTTATGGGAGGCCAAAGCAAGCCTCCGTCCCTCCCAGCCTTGGCGGTCGTTTCTAAGGTATGTATGTTAATCTCCAAGGGGCCCGGAACACAAGGGAGGTCATGGAGCAAACATGGACAAGATGGAGGGCTAAAGGTGGAATCAGTATTGTCCGTAGTCCCACAGGAACATTGTAATTAGTTGCTTCCGTGCAAGAAATAAGTATCCCCTGCCCCTACCACAGACAAGGAACTGTGCTATGGAGTGGACAGATTAGCACCTGCCCTCAAGGGGCTTCTGTTCAGAAGGAGGGATGAGGCAGATAAAAATTAATTACAAGAAGATAGCTAAATATCACAGAGGTGTCGCTGCCCTTGCCGTGGTTCCTACCACTTTGTTTCCTGAGTGTTTGCACGAGTTACCACGTTTGATACTTTGACAGTCCTATAATTTAAAGAAATACCTATCATCCCCTTTTCACAGAAGAGGAAATAAGACTAGGCAAGTTGTAATTCATTCAGCGTTGATGCCGTATACAAGAAAAAATTAGAGAAATAGCCGGATCGTGGCGGGGGGGGGGGGGGGGGAGCCTTCAATATCATGCTGAAAATCTTAGTTTTCATCCTACATGTATGGAGAGCCATTGAAGGATGTGTATATTCATAGGGGAAATTTAGAAAATAAGCAAAAAAGGACATTTTAATCACCTGAAATTTTACACGTGAAGATAAGATTTCACGTTAATGAGCTTAACATTTTGTTGTCCGCCCTCCCAGGCTCATCTCTATGTGCAAGGCCTTCTCTGACCGCGGACCTGACTGCTTCTCAGGGAATAATCACAAGCTAAATAAACCATTATAGGCTAAACCCTTGCAAATAGCTTTATAAATTAGGGCTCTATTTTGGGAAATCCATTCTATTCCATAAAAATGCCCAAGTGGCTAGAAAATAAAACAAACGTAAATGTTATAAAACATTAAGTATATTAATGAAAGGAGTATAGGACAACTACCTTGTAAATGTTCCTTTGGGGGTGTTCTCCGTGATTTATACATCTGAGGCATCATGGTAATCTATTCATTCAACTCATTCAAGAAACATTGATCATCCTCTATTTTGTTAGGTCCTATGCTAATAAAGGACCAGTGCCTCCCTCCTGAAACTAACCTGTGGGTCACCAAAGTGCAGCCTGCTGCCTGATTTGTACGGCCTGCAAACTAAGGACGGTTTTTACAGTTTTAAATGGTTTTTAAAAAATCAAGAAAAATATCTCATAACACATCAAAGTTCTCTGAAGTTCAAACTTCGGTGTCCATAAACAGAGTTTTATTGGACCACAGCCAACTTGTGAGCAGTTGCAACAGACCGTACGGCCTGCAAGCAGGTGCTCTCTGGCCCTTGACAGTTTGCTGACTGCAGAACTAATGGAAACAATATGCGTGCTTCCCCGCTCGAAGGACTTTGAAAGCTGCAACGAAATTTAGCATTATCTCAAAAAAGTTCCACTGGCATTAGAGGGCAATTAAATGAATACCTTGGACACTGGCTGGGGCACGGATGATTTCCATGATGAGTTCTCCATTGTTTCCCTGCCTTTCCATTTTAATATTGTCACCATTATGTTGGTGATAATGGAAGTCTAACAATTCCGCCACAGTCACGGGATGTAGTTCTGGCTACTATCCTCTTGTTCATTGCAGTGATTACTACCACATAAATCAAAGTTTGGTCTTAACTGAAAGGGCAGTACTTTAGGAAGGGTGTACAGAAGGGAGGCACGTGTTGAGGTTGAGCATCTCACATTTGTACTTATATGTCTATACTTAGGAGGTACTTTATCTCAGTTAAAAAAAAATGGGCTCTATTGGACATACTATTTTTTGACCAATCTGTTTTTTAAAATTTGATACTTTCCGGGGCGCCTGGGTGGCTCAGTCGGTTGGGCGTCCGACTTCGGCTCAGGTCACGATCTCGCGGTCCGTGGGTTCGAGCCCCGCGTCGGGCTCTGGGCTGATGGCTCAGAGCCTGGAGCCTGCTTCCGATTCTGTGTCTCCCTCTCTCTCTGCCCCTCCCCCGTTCATGCTCTGTGTCTCTCTGTCTCAAAAATAAATAAACGTTAAAAAAAAAATTTTAAATTTGATACTTTCCTATATCCTTTAAGTATTCATTACACATATCTACATGTAGTCTTTTTAACCATATAGAATTCTATAATGCGAATATACTATAAATCTATCATCGGGTATCCTTCTATATTCCTTGCTATTATAAACAATACTATCTTTGTTATGATTTGTTTTGTTCAGATAAACTTCTAAAACTTCAGATAAATTTCTAATTGCCAAGTTTAAGGAGCACATACAAGTTATAAGGCTTTTTGATTGATTGTCTGCTTAAAAGACTGTACTAACTTATAAAAATCTCACCAGAAGTGTATACATCAGCGCCTCTTCCCCCCGCAGCCTTTCAACATGAGCTCTTTTCATTTTTTAAAACCTTCCAGCTAATTCAACTGACAAATAATACTGATGGGTGGTTTGATTTACATCTCTTAATAATTACTAGTGAAGTTGAAGACCTTTTCATTGTTTGTGGTCATTTGTAGTCTTTGACTTAATGCTAGCTCATGCCCTTCGTACATTTCCATCTTTTCCTATTGGGGTAGCTTGCTTTCTCTTACTGATTTTCTTAAGGAGTATTATTTATTGGAAATGCTGGTTTTCAGCTTGTTTGCCCTCACTATGTTTGTGTTTTTTGACATCCACAAATATAGTCATATCTATATTATCTAATTCTCACAAGTGAGTACTATTCGTAATCTAATAAAGGCTCAAAAAGGTGACACAGATAGCAAATAGCAGAGGTGAGATTTGAAGCAAGTCCCATTGGATTCGAGTCTATGCACTCAATTACTACACCAGTCGTTATCAAAATGTCCCCAGACAGCAGCATCACCAACACCTGGAAACTTGTTAGAAATGTAAACACGCAAGCCTTAGCCCAGACCTAGGACTCAGACGCTGTGGGTGGGCAGCAATGCGGCTTAACAAGCCCTCCAGGTGATGAAGCACCCTTGAGTGTGAGAGCCACTGCACTACGCTATCCCCTTCTTCTTGATTTCCCCGTAGGAGAGACTATACTATTTAAAATGAGGCCCAAAGTAAGGAAATGAATTTTTTTTTTTAAATTAGGAAATGGCAGCCACTAGGAAAATGTCGCATCCTCGGTAGTGATAAAGAAGCACTCCGCTGCCCCAAGGCATAGTCCTGAGTATCTACTGTTTCACTCGCGGTCCCCACCATACACTGCGGGAGGCTGACATCCATGGACTGTACTCAGGAGCCACAGTGTACCAGCCTGTTGCAGTGGCGGGAAGTGTGAAGAATGACTCTAGGGTAGCGCTCTTATTTTTGACTTGGGTGATCGGCCAATTTTACCAAGTAGGGCAGAGGTGGTAGGAGAGGGGTCCAAAAGGAAAACAAGAATTTAGCAGGTGTATTGTGAGGAGTCTGCAGGACATGCAGGGCAAAGTGTTAGGAGCCCGCAGTTTTTGACCAAGATCCGGGATAGAGGTGGACTTGGGGTGTTACTAGCGTGGATGAGACAGTGCGGGGCTGAAAGGGGAATGACAAACCTAGAGACCAACAAATACAACGCTAAGGGTGAAACCAGTGACAGCTTTTCGGTTTTTCTCCCTTCTCAGCGACGCACACTTTCCAGTTCCCCAAGAGGCTCAGAAAGGACCAGCGTGCAGAGAGGCTTTGCCTTCAGGCTGCTAGCGGGCCAGCCCCACCCACCGGAGTCGAGAAGGGCACCTGGCTTTCCAGTTTCACTTCTCCGGAGGCTAGAGACACCCGCCAGCTGCCTAGAACTCTCCACACTAGTCACCGCTGTGATCACGCCTCGCGGCTGGACACTACCCTCTGACGTCATTACGGCGCGCCCCCTTCCAAACCGCCCCCACCACGCCCCGCGCCTCGGCGCGCCCCTTTGACGTCTAACCGCGCGCTTTTCCCCGCCACCTCGACCACGCCCCGCGGCTCGGCGCCGTGCTTTTACGTCATCAGCGCGCGCCCTCCCGCTCCCGGGTGTTCAAGCTCCGAGCGCGAGCGGAGTTTCAGCCCCACGCCTCTCCTTTCCGTCATGTTCCCGGCCGTCTCCTCTCCGCGGACACCGGGGCCCGGGACTCGAAGGGGCCCGCTGGCCGGAGTCGGGCCGGGCTCCACGCCCCGGGCGACAAGCAGGAAAGGTCTATCCCTGGGGTCTGCAGTCAGCTCCCCGGCGCTCTTTTCGCCGGTCGGCCGGCGTAGCTCGCTGAGCTCGCGGTAGGTGATCGTCCCCGGTTGGGTCTGGTGAACAATAGGCTTACGGGCTTCAGTGGGCCTGATGGGGTAGTGTCTCCAGACGCCTTCGGAACGCGGAGGAGGGGGCGGGGAGGTAGTGCCAAGGCTGGGGGAACTAGACCTTCGCCATCTTTGCGAGTAGTTACTTCAGCCTCAGTTTAATTCATCTCTTAAGCCTTCACTTTGCACTTTTCATGGAATTACCTCTGTGTAGAAGTGAACAAATTGGATTTCAGTCAGTGGTTACCTGCCTCCTTACTACCCCCGTCTTCCATTGTAAGTCAGTCATGATTCATTTGGTGAAATGGCAATAATAGGCGACCTGAGCCTGCTTCTCTTAAGGCCAAATGAATCAATACGAAAACCCTCGACAACGGTGGGAATGAGGATCTCCAATTCTGGAAGGTCATGTTATGCCTAACATAGTTACTGCCATTAATATCTGCTGACTGATAATTACATGACTTTTAGCAAGAGAAGTTATCTTTGTAGCTAAATTAATAGGGGAAAGTCTTTCCTAGCAGTGAGATAAGAATAGTAGTTTTGTTCCCAAATAAAAGTGTGGCACATCAGTCCACATCATTCCTTAAACCATACTCTGCATCCCGCTTTCATAATTAATCTAGAACTTTAGAAGGTAACATGTTTCTGAGCAGTTTCCTCCGAATTCATCTACGAAAAAAGAATTTTCCTTTGCAAGAAAAGTGTAATATTGGGTCTTGAACTTATAGTTAAAATTTATCTATAGATGCTTGCAATACTTTAAAGGAGAAATGATTTTTAATTTTTTTTTTAAATTTTTTTAACGTTTTATTTACTTTTGAGACAGGGAGAGAGAGAGCATGAACAGGGGAGGGTCAGAGAGAGGGAGACACAGAATCGGAAACAGGTTCCAGGCTCTGAGCTGTCAGCACAGAGCCTGACGCGGGGCTCGAACTCACGGACCGCGAGATCATGACCTGAGCCGAAGTCGGCCGCTTAACCGACTGAGCCACCCAGGCGTCCCAATTTTTAATTTTTTTAAAGTTTATTTTACTTACTTTGAGAGAGAGTGTGCACAGGAGGGGCAGAGAGAGAGAGAATCCCAAGGCTCCACACTGTCATCTCGGAGCCCGATGTGGGGCTCAAACTCACCAACCGTGAGATCATGACCTGAGCAGAAAAGAGGATTCGGTTGTTTAACCCACTGAGCCACCCGGGTGCTCCAAGGAGACATGATTTTTAAAGAATTCACTGCATCTTTGACTTTTACGTCTCGAAAGTGCTCTTCAAAGTGGTGATCTTGTCAGTGTTTTTTTTACTACCTTTGAGAAAAGTAAAGCTGTACTTTATTTAATGCGTTTTGTTTCAAATCTCTTTTTACCTTCCAGTGATCATTTAAAGAAAAATCTTTGTTGTAATACTCTCAAGAAGCAAAGCTCACTTAATCCTCATGATAAGAGATGGAATAAATTTTATACTGGTGACTTTACATTATTTTTTGAATGTTGACAAGGTGAAAAGATCTAATTTCTACACTGTATCTGCTATTAAAGAACAGGTAACAGCAGATACTCATGACCCTATTTAATTTCTTAGTTATAGAAATCTGGTAGATTTCATGTAATCCTAGAGCTGATGAGGGCCAAATGGGTGAAGGGGAGCGAGAGGTACAGGCTTCCAGTTAGGAAATGGGTAAATAATGGTGATGAAAAGTACAGCCTAGGGAATATAGTTAACAGTACTGTAATAGGGTTGCGTGGTGACAGATGGTAACTGTCCTTGTGAGCATAGCATAGAGTTTCAAATCACCATGTTGTACATCTGAAACTAAAGTAACGCTGTGTGTCAGTTATACTTCAATTAAAACAAATTCTAGGGGCAACCTGGGTGGCTTAGGTGGTTAAGCATCTGACTTCGGCTCAGGTCACGATCTCATGGTCTGTGAGTTTAAGTCCTGCGTCAGGCTCTGTGCTGACAGCTCAGAGCTTGGAACCTGGTTTGGATTCTGTGTCTCCCTCTCTCTCCGCCCTCCCCCACTTGTGCTCTGTCTCTCTCTCTCTCTCTCAAAAATAAATAAACATTAAAAAAAAAATTCCAGAGCTGATGAGAGCTAAAAGATAATCTAATCCAATGTTTGTAAAACTTTTTGGCCACAGTGTAGGATAAATTCTAGTTTATATTCTATTTTATTTTTCAGAAATGTTCATTGAGACCCTCACAATGACCCACAATTTGGAAAATGCTGATCTAGTCCAACCTTTGTATTACATAGCGAAGGATACAGTTATATAGAGTTTAAGTGAACGGAGCACGCATCTGATTACTAGAGCATAAGAGTCAGAAGCCAAATTTTCCTATATCCTGTCAGTCTTTTTTTAATGTAAAATATATTTACACAGTACACATGAGCCAGAGTTTTCTTTTACTGCTACAGCTCATTTGTTTTCTTGTTTATCGAAGATGTTTTCTTTACATGAAAATAGTACATAAAAGTAAGCATAACGGAAAATTTTAAATATGATGCAAGTTGTATGGTCTCTTTTCTTTAGAGGAACACCTACACGAATACTGCCACACCACTGTGTAACTGAGTCTATGAACTATGATGTGAAAACATTTGGATCTTCTCTCCCTGTTAAAGTAATGGAAGCCCTAACGTTGGCTGAAGGTGAGTGTCATTTCTATTTGCCTATATTAGCAATTCAAAATGAAGCCTGTCCCTGGGTCCGAGATTGAAATTTGTGCTTTTTCTGGTATATACCTTCACTTAAATGGGGGTAGAAACAGGTAACATTTGGTTTTCCATGAATTGCAAAATATAATAAATTTGAGAAGCAGAATGAGTCCATTTATAGCACAGATTACTTCTTCAATGGTCGTAAACACTGCATATGCAAAACTCAGTCCAATTTCAAAATCTGATTGCGAGTGTGAAGCTTAGCTTAAAAGACCACTCCGTCATGTTATGAGTATGGGTATAATAACGTTATTATAAGATCAAGTCTTACCTCCATTTCTGGATCCTTTGTAGTATCCCAGAGGCTATATGTACACATTTATGTTATCAGTGTAAAGTACCGTCAGGAGATTCTGTTGGCAGAGAATTAGAGTGGGAGTTTGGAAGATGCAGTCACGCAAGCGTCAGAAGGGCAACAATAAGGATAAGGGGTTGGGTGACTGGCAGAACAAAGTTCACAGCATCCTCCATGATCTGCCCAAGTCATTTTTATTTATGATTCAATTCTAGATTTCTGTGATTTTTTTGGAACGGTGTTTTTCAAACTGTCGGTAGTGACTGAAATCAGTTTAGTGGTTCATGGCCAGCACTTAAAAAAATTGAAAGCAAAGCATCAGAGTGCATTTTATGTCATAATGTTACATAAGTTTGGTGTGTTTTACTTAAATTACATGTGAATGCATCATGATGTAAAATATATTTCATATCGTGAATGATGGTCAAATAAGTTTAAAGTACTCCATTCTAGAAGGAATATTTCTCATCAACTTGAACTACGTATCTTGCCTGTGAGTCCTTGGGAACCCAGGTACAGAGGTTTTCAGACAACTAAACTTCCACTGTAACCTCCATCGTGTACTTTTCTTGTTTTAATTATATATAGCATGTATTATATTTTTCTTTAGTCCTCTAAAAATTTCAGCTCAAATAGTATTTAAGCCTTTTAACATACTCCTGGTTCATGCCACCAGACTGTTAATAACAAATAGTACACAGCCTCAGAGGAGAGAGTCCCTCAAAATCAGGATGTGTAAACTTAAGGGTGTGTAAACTTGAAGAACTTTTCCGAATATGGAAACCTACCAAGTGCTGTGTGTTAAGTCAGGGACCTCACAGGTTTACCAGTAGAGTATTTGGAGCTGCTATATTGCTTTCGGGAAATGAAAATATTGAACAGATACTCTAATTCAGCAAAAGCCCACACTTAGCCTAGGCATGATTTAGTATTTTAGCTTATAGATTATTGATGCCTTTTATTTTGCCCTTCTACCCTGCTTTAGGCAAAGAGCAGAGCTCAAATTAATTAAGTTTCCAGGGCTAACACACTTAACTGAAGTTTACCACCACCAGTGCTTATGACAGCAATTTACTAATTTAGTTTTGTCACTTACTATGGAATGCAACCCTTGATGTCTATGTATAATAAAGTGATTTATCAAACTTTTAAAGAAGGTATTTGAAAGTCATGTTCTTTTGAAGGAATAATTTTTTCTTGAAATTCTTTATATATTTAATGGGAGAGATTATTATTTGCATTACTGTATCAAAATAAAATTATGAATGTTACTAAATATTGTAGAAAGTAAGATACTTGTTTATGGCCAATATTAAAAGATAGTAAACCTAAGGCCAAAATATACCTTTGCCTTCAGATACATTTCTAAAAGTGGTTATCAAAGTTAAATGGCTCTCTTGTTTTGGATATTAATAACTCTAACTCTTGAATTACACAAGGGCATTTTTTTGATATGAATGAATCTTTTTTATCTGTGGTAATTACTTTTTTTTTTTTTTAATAAAGAATGTATCCATAAAGAAGATCTTGGTATAAGGAATTTTAACAGTTTTTCTTTTCTGTTTCTTTTTTTTTTTTTTTGTTACAGTTTTTCTTACTCGTTCTTTGAGGTTAAATATGTAAGTTATGTACTTTTTTTTTTTAGTTGATGATCAGCTGACTGTTCACATAGATGAAGGTGGATGGGCTTGTCTGGTCTGCAAAGAGAAACTCATTATTTGGAAGATTGCTCTGTCACCTATTACTAAGGTAATGGCTCTTGAGAGAGCTAGAAGGAGAAGAGGAAAGGATTACCAGTTGGCTCTTAATTTTTACTCTAAATTTTTAGAGTTGTTGGAGGACACAATCTGAATTTACTCATTAGATTTGCATTTTCGTAGTGGTATGAATTACAGAGCATACATTCACATTTTTATGTTGGGAAAAAAAGTTTCTCCCCTTTCATAATTTTAAATAGGATCCACGTTATTAAAATTTTTAGTGAGTGTTAGGAATGCCATACCGGTCTGCCTAATGAAGTTTAAGAATAAATGCTGCCCACATTAGCTAATGAACTGAGCTTATTTCTTTTTTTAATTTTTTTCTTTTGAGAGAGAGAGAGTGAGGGAGAATCTTAAGCAGGCTCCATGCTGAGTGCGGAGCTCAATCCCACGTGATTGATGCTGGGCTCAATCCCATGACCCTGGTGTCATGATCTGCGCTGATATCAAGAGTCCGATGCCTAACTGACTGAGCCCTCCAGGCGCCCCTGAGGTTATATATTTCTAAGATAGGACTATGATTCACTGAATCTACTAAATGGTGTTTAATGGGAAAAAAATGATACCAATTTTAGCAATTGCTAGTTTAACTTTCAGTTGTCGGTTTCTCACATGGGGTTATCATTTGCATTTCTAGGAACTTATCCTCAGCAACCTATTTTCCTGTCTGTTCCAGATGAGCCATACTCTCTTGCAACCACTCACTGGTCACTGTTACTGGGCCATTGTTCTGTTGGACCTGGGGATTCTTGCTTACTTAAACTCTTCATGTCTGCTGGCCTCTGTACTTCTGCCTAGAAGATAGTATTTGTAGTTAAGAGCATAGGTGAGGGAAAGTTCTGGGGGCCATGAAGAGTTAGCAGAAGGAGCCTGATAATTTGGCTGAGGCTAAGAAATATTTTCTAGACACCTTGGTATAATTAATTGCTCTGTAGTCATGCTGATTTTAGATGTCAAATAAATCAAGACTAGACTGGGAAAATTCCATAGGAAGCCTGCATACTTCTTTAAGGGAAGTATGACTTCTCTTAAGTCTTGCAGAGGTTTTTTAGTCTAGAAAGATACTGGGCTAGTTGAAGTTCAGAGTTTGGTCTAGCTCTTAAGTTTTTCTGATTCTATATCTCTTAAAATATCTTGCTTTAAAATGACCGAAGGGCCTGACGAAAACCTGATCAAAAAGATGTGAGAAAAAAAGTACGTTTGTAGAATGGTATTTCCAGCAATGACTCAGATTCTGAAATGTACAGGGAAGGGAAATCGTGAAGTCGGGGTGCATATGCAAAGAATCGGATTTGATGTGAAAGATTTTTTTTTTTGTTTGGGTTTTTTCTTTAGTTATCTGTTTGCAAAGAGCTTCAGCTGCCACCAAGTGACTTCCACTGGACTGCTGACTTGGTGGCTCTCTCTTATTCTGCTACCTCAGGTGAAGCACATTCTACTCAGGTAGGTGACTTAAATGCTTGATATATGTGTGTGTGTGTGTGTATTTTTTTTTTTTAATTTAAATAAGGGAAGTTGTAACATTGGAGGAATTATCCAATCAACATTATCCAAGTTGATTCAGTGACAAAACTGTAAAGCTACAGGAATCAAGATACTAGTATTGGCAAAGAGGTAGACACCTAAGGGCACTGAACAGAATAGAGAGTGCAGATACAGATCAACAAAGAGGTGCCCCTTTGGTCTTTAACAGAGCTGCAGTAGCAATTCAGTGAAGTCAGGGTAGTCTTTGCAGTAAATGGTGCTGGGACCATTGGGCATCCTTATGCAAAAAACAAAACAAAAAAACACCTCATACCGTATACAAAGGTTAACTCAAAATGGATCATAGGTCTAGATGTAAAATGTTTAGAAGAAAACAGGAGAAAATCATCATGACGTGGCGTTAGACAAAGAGTTTTGGGAAATCACCGAAAGCATGATTCATAAAAGAAAAAAATAGATAAGTCGGACTTCATCAAAATTAGAAACTTGGTGTCAGAGACACTGACAAGAAAATGAAGAGACAAGCTACAGACTGGGAGAGAATCTTTCCAAGTTATATATCCAACAGAGGACTTATATCTAGAATGTAAAACAAACTCTGAAAGCTTAATAAGAAAACAACCCAATTTAAGAACAGGGTACAGGACTTGAACAGACACTTTATCAAAGAGGATGTAAGGATGTCACAGAGATGTTCACGTCATTAGTCATTAGAGAAATGCAAATCAAAACTAGAGTGAGGTATCACAGTACTACCTATTACAGTGGCTGAAATACAAAGTACTTGAACTGGCAAGTGCTGACAAGGATGTAGAGCAACTGGAAATTGTACGTTGCTGGTGGGAATGCAAAATGGTACAGCTACTTGACTTTCACTTTGTAGTAGTTAAAATACACTTGCTGTTTTGACCCAACAATTCCATTCTTGGCTGTTTACCTCAGAGAAATTAAAACTTAACGTTTACACGAAAAACAGTACATGAATGTTACAGTATTCATATCACATTATTTATGATAGCCAAAGGTGGGAACAACCCAAATGTCCTTTAGCGAGTGAATGAATAAACGAATGGTTTCATCCATAGAATGGAATAGTACTCAGCAGTAAAAAGGAATGAACTCTTGATACAAGTGACAACCTGGATGTATCTCAGAGACATGCTGAGTGAGATCAACTAGTGCTTAAAGGCTACATTCTGTATGGTTTCATTTGCTGGACATTCTCAGAAAGATGAAACTATGATGGTGGAAATAGTGGTTGCCAGGGTTAGGATAGGGGAAAGGTCTGATCATAAAGGGATAGATAGCACTAGGGAGTTTTGGGTGTTAATGGAACTGTGCTGTATTCTTATTGTGGTGGTAGTTACATGGATCTTTGCGTGTGTTAAAATTTATAGAACTGCACAACAAAAGGAAAAGAAAGTCAATTTTATAGTGTGATAATTTTTAAAATACAAAAAAAGAGGTGTTTTTTTTCCCCCTAATTTCTATTAAATAATAAATTGCCCTGTTTTCTTTTTATCAGTGTCACCAAATTGCTAGCTTTAGGGTCCTTCTTTTTACGGTGATTGCTCAGTGTTATGATCTTGTTTCAAGGCTGTTGCTGTCATGGTTGCCACCAGAGAAGGATCCATCCGCTATTGGCCAAGCCTTGCCAGTGAAGACATCTACACAGAGACCTTCGTGGATTTAGGAGGTGATAAGACTTACAGTTTCCTAACAGCAGTGCAGGTATACAATAGATATTCTTTTATATTTATTGGAAAGCTGTAATTTGACTTGGAAGTGAGATGTGAACAACTAAAAATACAGGGTTTTGAATAGACCATACAGGCCAGAGAGGAATTCAGGAGCCAAGAGAAGAATGTAAGGGTCTAGGATTTGAACAGTTGGACAAAGGAAAGCCCTTCTCCTAGGACTCTGAAATACCAGTATCGGATAGTAGCCAGCGGTATTCATTTCTTTCAGAAATATTTTCTGATGGTGACTTTGAAGCCCTTAGACGTTATGAAGTCTGGTTTGCTAAAATACACTCTGTAGGTCGACCAAAGAATAAAATGTGGTACTTGATTTGTTGAACCTGTAATGTGATGAACCTGTAATTTAAAAATCAGAATTCAGGGGCGCCTGGGTGGCACAGTCGGTTAAGCGTCCGACTTCAGCCAGGTCACGATCTCGCGGTCCGTGAGTTCGAGCCCCGCATCGGGCTCTGGGCTGATGGCTCAGAGCCTGGAGCCTGTTTCCGATTCTGTGTCTCCCTCTCTCTCTGCCCCTCGCCCGTTCATGCTCTGTCTCTCTCTGTCCCAAAAATAAATAAACGTTGAAAAAAAAAATTTAAAAAAAAATAAATAAAAATCAGAATTCAGACACTCAATGAAAAAAACAGAATTGCACCTGAAAGTTTCCTATGTAGAATTAGTAGTATTATGTGAATGGATTCATAAGTAAATCATTTTAATAAAGTTTTCTTTTTTTATTCTTTTAAATCTGTTTTAAGGGAGATGCTAGATCATTTATCTCTGTATCAAAGCATTTTTTGTTAATGTTCTTCATCTTAGTTATAGAAGCTTACTTAACGAATTTCACAATATTTGTTCATAGGGAGAAAGTTTTATTTTGTCCTCATCGGGAAGCCAGCTGATTCGACTGATACCTGAAAGTTTAGGAAAGATTCATCAACATATCCTGCCTCAAGGACAAGGCATGCTTTCAGGAATTGGTCGGAAGGTTTCTTCTCTTTTGGGAATTTTATCTCCAAGTACTGATCTCATCGTAAGTTGATGAAATGACGTTGTTTTATGAGCCTTTTCTTCATGAAATCATTAAGTTGGAAGTTTCCTATGAAGTTGATAATTGCCTCCGTATGAACACTAGTGTATATGAAATAAAACCTTTGATCTTTTCAATGATGCATATTTATTGTGATCAAATGAGATGCCATACTAACCCTCTCACACTACAACTAATATTCTTAAATAAATCGTATGGATTCTTTTGAATCTTCGAATTAAAACTGTTTTGTAAAATTATAAATGTGCTTAAGGACCAGTTTTGCTTTTTAGACTTAACCAAAAGTGTGTTCACTCCCATTACTGCAGCTGTTTGTGTGGATGACTCAAATCTGGGTCTGTTGGTTGGGCTTGTGCCTCAGGCTCTGGACTAGTGAAGGGAGGCGGATGGGAGCTCACATTTATGGAGCATGTACCCTCTGCTGGGTGCTCTGTATTTGTTATCTCAAGTAACAATTACAATCACCTATGATGTAGAGAGCTTTCTCCCCAGTTTGCCAATGAGAATACGGCCTCAGGGATGTCATGTAAACTGCCTGAGGTTATGGAACGACTCCGTGCCCAGGCACATTAGAATGGAAAGCACGTTTTCTTTCTACTGTGCTCTTTCCTTCTAATTTCAGGTTGCTCTCATCATCTGCTTTCTTGATGCTCTTTGAACCTAAAACCTGACCTGTCTGAAAACAAATGGCCCATATTCCTTTTTCTCTCCCATTTTCTACACCAAAAGTGTATATAAAACTTACTTCTCTTGGGGCACCTGGGTGGCGCAGTCGGTTAAGCGTCCGACTTCAGCCAGGTCACGATCTCGCGGTCCGTGAGTTCGAGCCCCGCGTCGGGCTCTGGGCTGATGGCTCAGAGCCTGGAGCCTGTTTCCAATTCTGTGTCTCCCTCTCTCTCTGCCCCTCCCCCGTTCATGCTCTGTCTCTCTCTGTCCCAAAAATAAATAAAAAACGTTAAAAATAAGTAAATAAATAAAAAAATAAAACTTACTTCTCTTTTGACCTGTTTATTTCTGTCCATGACCCTGTTTTTTCAGTGACCCAAGTATAAACCTTGATTGTGTGTGTGTGTGTCTCTGTCTCCTTCTTACTTACCAGATACTGTAGATTTGATTTCTGTCATGTCTCATTTTCATCCCTGTCTTCTGCTTCCATTGTTATGCCCTAATCTATACTCTTGCTAAATTTCCCCTAAGCTCTTGGTGCCAGTTCCGTTCACTCACCGTCAGCCTCCTTACCCATTAGTGGCCAGAATCATGGTGACAAGAGAAACGGAGAAAATTAGGGCTTCAGCTCAAAACAGTCGTGTGCCCACCTTAAAAAAAAAAAACACGTCTGTACTTCATAACCAAGTGTATACTTGAAAAGGCAAAATAATCTGCCTACATGTAACTAACTATACACATCCCTGCCACATTCACTTTCCTGTAACACAGCTCTTGAGTTCAAAAGCCATTGAGAATATCTCCCTTGCTTACTAGGTTTACAAACTCATATTCCCGACTCTCTGCCATGTGTCCCTCATGTTTCATTTGAGCATTATTTCTACTTGTAACATTGAGCATTATTTCCAATGTAACAGGACTACTGGTTGCTCTTTGAAAGACCTTATAACTTTCCTAACTCCCAACTATGCTCTTTGTGGGCTGTCTGCTTTTATATTTCTGCCTATGAAAATCTGACCTGGCTTTCAAGGTCCATTTTAGGATCACTCCTTTCTTTGAATCCTAAATGAAGAATTCTGCTAAGATTACTAATAGAATACTCACAAAATATATAAAATTTAGATTTCAGAAAAATAGTTCATTAACATTAGAACTAAAAAAAAATCTATAAACTTAACCTTTTTCTTCTCTCCATACAGCTTTCAAGTGTCCTTTGGGATAGAGACAGAGCAAGTTTTTATAGCCTGACAAGTTCAAACATCAGTAAATGGGAATTAGATGATTCTTCAGAAAAACAAGCACATAGTTGGGATATAAACAGAGCTCTGAAGGAAAACATTACTGATGCTATTTGGGTAAGGAACAATAATATTCATTTCTGTAATTCACATTTATGGTTATATGAGAATGCTAGTTTCTCTCATTATTTAGATGACATTGCAATGCACTGTTTTTAGCCATCAGATAAACAGAGAGGGCGCATTCAATCTCTAGAAATGGTGGAACTCACTGATTTACCTAATAATTTTTAAAATGCATCCATTATTTTTATTTAATAACTATTTGAACCGTAGTTCAAATTATTTTAGTAGGTGCTGGGAATACAAAATTGAAAAGAAATCCTTACACTCCAGGAACTTACGTTATTGATATTTTCACGTAGGGATCTGAGAGTAACTACGAAGCTATTAAAGAAGGGGTCAACATTCGGTATTTGGATTTGAAGCAGAACTGGTAAGCAGTTAGTTTGTCTCATAAAGAATATAGATTGTTGTTTGGGAAAATAATGTTTATTATAAAATGATGAGCAGTCTTGCTATTTGTTCTTCTAATGCTAATCCTTTCGTACTGTTATACCTCACTCAATGATTTTATGTTCTTTGTCTAGAGACGCTGGTTCATTTGACAAATGTAGGCAGTTCTCAGCCTTCAGCTGTGTATTCTTATATTACTTGCCTGCCCTAGTTCAAGACTCATCTTTCCTGCTCTCATGGCTGGAGCTTCTCTTTCTTCGTGCTAAGAAATGCCCTCCCTGCTGCTGTGGGTGCTCCGTGCTGTCCTCCTTCTCTTCTCAGTGGAGATACCAGGCATACTTGTCCACATCTTTTGCTTTAGTAAGCCTGTGTTTGTGGCTGTATTGGAGAAAGGAAGGTGGGGTGAGGTTTTGTCTTGGCAATACACGTTAGAACTCAGAGTTTATAGTCCCAGTGAATTTCCTCTTAGAAACAAGGCTCTAAGTGGTGCTTAAGATCCCAGGTTAGTCTGATAAAGTTAATATATCCTGTCTTACTTAGTTTTAATACCAAAGGTCATATGGAACTTAAAAATCATTCGTAACATGGCTTCCATGAGAAAGTTCGTAATCAGTGCCAATGTATGACTTGGAATCCTTCAAAACACAGCTTACCAGAAGTTAAAGGCAGTTTTTATGTGTTTTAGGGTAATTTAATTTAGTAGAACAAATTCTTATTTCTTGGAAGGATATTATAGTTTTGCTGTATCATTTTTCTCTCTCAGGCTCTTGAGAATGTCAGTAAGATCCTTCTTTATAGTTTCTGAAAACCTTATATAAACTATCAAAGAGGTATAAACAATAGTATATACTGAATTCTCATGTATGGTTTAATTAAATATAGTTTATCTGTTTTCCTTTATCTTTACCAGACTTTCAGAGATTTAGAACTGCTGGTAGGACGCAACCCACGTGGGCATACGATGCAGACATTTTTCCACATACACTTTTCAGAATGGAGACGTGGGCTGAAAACAGAAAAGAGAAACATACTTAGGAATTGCTGTACTGGGCCAAACCCCAAGCTCCTTTCCCCCATTTTTGTCATGCTAACAAGATGCTTGTGGGGTTTGCAAGACACGGCTCTTGTTCTCCTTCTGGACCCTCTAGTGATCCATATGGAGTATCCGTGTCTGCATATGTTTCTTCACTTAAGAATAGTGTTTGTTGAGGCACCTGGGTGGCTCAGTCGGTTAAGTGTCTGACTTCGGCTCAGGTCATGATCTCACGGTTTGTGAGTTCG